TGGTGTCTATGTTGTCATTTTTTTGTTATTGAGACAGAGTCTTGTGAAATAAATTAGTTGTCTATTTGGCTACAAATTTCAGAATAGCTTATAAATTTGTACTAGTTGTAAACTCATGATATTTTCACAATCCGTGAGTTAAGCAAACAAATCTTCATTTTACATTTGAGATAATAAAATTTACTTTTAGATAGTTTTGAATGATTTTTAAAAAATTCTAATTTATTTTTGAATTCTCAAATTATTCTGAAAACTTTCAGGCATATGCTTCTCCTTTTTAATACTAACACAATTCGAGATGCCTGACAAGGATGGCTGACATTGGAACGTAGCCTAACAATCTCCTTCGCGGCAGTTTTCAGAGGAATCGAATGACGCATCAACATTCACTTTTTCCCAACCTGCCGGGTGGGGAGTCTACAGAGAGGGCGTGGCCCTGGCGGAGTCCCCTGCTCGGGAAAATGCGGCTACTCAGTTTCTCCATTCAAAATAACCGAGTAAGAAATAGAATTAATGCAATCCGTAATGACCACACTTAACATCAAAACCGAAATGGCGCATCAAACCATCCTGGTATCTCCATTTGATGCGATCATAGGCTTGGCCATGTCTAACTTAATGGCCATGAAATCATATTTGCCTTTGGACTTCGAATTTAGGACACGAAGAATTTCATGAGAGTGCATTGTCGTGAATTAGGCGATTAGGCATAAATGCGCTTTGATTCTCACTGATAAGAGGCTGGAGAAGAGACTTCATTTGAGACGAAAGAACTTTTGAGAACACCTTGTAAACCACATTACACAAACTGATGGCACGAAATTAGGTCACCTGGAATTCATTAAAAACAAAAATTTGAAAGTCAAGTTTCCTTTCAACAAACAAGGCAATAGCACAGGATAAACCCCGTTTTTGGTCTCAAGCAAACAAACAAACAATGAGGAGTTGAAGGAAACAATCCTCCTCAACTCGGAAATGGTACGGGAGTTCCTCACACCTTGATAGTTTTACTCCATAGCCCCGATTGAGACCTGTGCAGACTCTTTAAGCCTGGCCTCCATCGCCATTTGATGAGAGAGAGATTGAACAGTTCCCTCCTTAGCATTGGTGGTCTAGGGAAGGGTGTTTCGGTAGTTTTGCTAGGGGAAGAACATGGCTAAATAAAGTGACAGTTTCCTAATTGACAGAGTACCCAGCACCTCGAGCATGTGTGCACTTGTTCGAATCCCCCCTTCCCTAATTTGTTAGGATAAAAAATAAATAATGAGGGTGTCATAATGAAGAGAGTAATGCAATTGAAAGCATGGTGTCACGCCCTACACCTAGAGGTTATGTCACGCGGCAACCTGTATGGACCGGGAATTTTCTAGACTTCTCCACACAGTTACGAACCCTTCCAAATTTCTCTAGAATAGTGTGAAATTGTCTAGACTCTTCTGCACTTGTCTAGAGTTGTACAAAGTAACCTAGACTTGTCTTGTAACATTATAGATGGTTCTAGAGCTGTAGAGATAGTTGCCAAGTCCCTATATAAGGAGGTATGAGTTTATTTGCTCCTCTAGTTGTAATCTATTCTCTAGAGCAATACAAGTTCTCCACATTCACATTCTCTCTCTCTCTTTCTCGCTCTCGCTCTCTAGCCCAAGTGTTCTCTTCCTATACACACACTTGCAAGCAAGCTCCTCTAGCCTTTGTCTTCACTAAGTTAACACACTCGGGTGGGCTGATTTAGCATTTTAAGGGGGCTTTAACTTGTCTAACGCCGCATGTGAGCTTGGAAAAGTCCAAGTTTAGCACTTTAAGAGGACTTCAACGTGTCTAAGACTGCACGTGATTTTGGAAAGGTCTAAGTCCGTGACAATGGGGTGATGACCCTCGACCAGCTACACCTTGCACTAGAACTAGACTTTGCTTTTGTTAGGTACATTTCATAAAGAGAGGTTCTTGTATACCCTGTCACTTTAATTGAATTATATTACTCTGTTGTGTGTGAGAGAGAGACCATTTTTAATGCTCCAAATTCTTTCCAGATGTCTTCTTTACTCGTTTGACTGACGTAGTTTAAGGTCCATTTTTCACTTGTCATAATTCTTGTAATGAGATAACTCTCTTGATGGTCTTACTCTTGTTATAATTACTCATTTGACATGTCGGATACAATAGTTCACGAAAAATTGTCCATAGTTACATTTAGTGATATACTTGATTAGTCTTTTTGTAGGATAAAATGTATTAAGTGATATAAGAGAAAGAACCAATATTATGAGATTTAGCATATTGATCCAAAATCATAAGTTAACATGGGTTATATGATCAAAGCTATCCTTTTTGCCCATCTTTTTCATCATTGCCCAAAGACATTTGAAGTTCAAAAGAATTGCATGGAACAAAGATCACTACAATAGAGAAAGGGTTTTAAAAAATGGTCTTGGTGAACTAAACCACCAAGTGACTAATGATTCAAGACTATCTAATAGTTGGAAAGTGTTGTTCTAGTCTTATAGCCTAGTTGAATTGATCAATAGAAAACACCTAAAGGCCATTGATGAAAGAACCAAATTTGAGACGAAAACATATTTTAATGCTCCTCCATATCATCCATATGTACAAAAAGAGACTTCGTTAACAATTCATGAATCTGGCACCAAGTTGGGACCATCTTTCCTCTAAATTAACTATTTTGTATGTAGTAGTAGGAATGTATATGTTAGGCCCTGTTTGGCATGCGTTTTGTTTATGTTGTTTTTATTTTTGGGCTACTACAGTGTTGATTTTGGCAACAGAAGCATGTTTGGTGCGGCCTTGTTTTATTTTACACAATGTGCTAAAATACTTTGTGAACAATGGCTCAAAACCAAAATATCACAAAGTTATTTTTTCTTATTTTGACAATTGTTCATAACTCAAAATCATAACAATAGCGTAACACGGGTCCGACATTTCCACGGCAAAACATCGTTTCTAAACTTGCTTTTGATTTTTTTTTCAAAACACTCCTACAACAAAAGCATTGTTTTTGTTTTTATCAAAAACAAAACATATAAAATAAAGCGCATACCAAACGGACCCTTAACATCACATAATGCATCTTTGTTAAAGGACATTTTAGAAAGATCACACTATACGAGCCCTAATCTAAACAACTTGTTGGGTGCATGCATGGAGTGGGTGACAAGTTAAAAGTTGGTTGACAGGGGAAACAAATAATATATATATATAATGGGACTACAAAAAGGCAAGATAAGGAGGAATCTGTTGGGGTCTTCCCTCTTCACAACCTTTCACAACTGAAGGGAAAAAAATTGCTTTAAAACTCATACTTCTCCACTTCCTACCCTCTTCTCCCCACCCTACATGTCCCTATGACAATAATTTTAGAAACAGGACACCCACATATGAAGATACCTTTATGTTTTACAGTATTGTATTCACCTCACTTTAGGCCTTTTCTTGCTTGGGTCACATGCTTTAAAAGCATTTTTTCGCAAAGCTCTCAAAAAAAAAAAAAAAATAAATAAATAAAAATTAAAGGGAAATAAATAATTTAGATAAGAAGAAGACAAACAAGCTTTATAAAACGTTCTCCTCTTCCATTCCTCGAGAAGGCTGGATTAATATTTGGCCAAGTGACGTATCAGTCAATATGTAACCCTTTTTCAAGTCCGATATGCGACTCGTATCGATCAGTTTACAATAACTTTGTCCGAGTCTATTACATGGCGACCACGACAGATACCACGACCGTGAACAATATTATGCATGGACACATGATTTTGGGTGCCATTAGTAACTTCTATAACTTCATTGACGGTAAAACCTACTAGAATATAAATCTTGATGATTTGAAGCATTTCAAGCTCTGCCAAATTATACCTAACAGTTTATAGTCTTTTAATTGTGAAGAAAACATCTGGGAAAAAAAAATACTTAAAGGCCATTGATGTTTTACAGTATTGTATTCACCTCACTTTAGGAGGCCTTTTCTAGCTTGGGTCACATGCTTTTAAAGCATTTTTTCATCAAGCTCCCAAAAAAAAAAAAAAATTTAATAATAAAAATAATAATAAATAAAAGGTAAATAAATAATTTTAATAAGAAGAAGACAAACAAGCTTTATAAAACATTCTTCTCTGTCATTCCTTGAGAAGGCTGGATTAAATGTACCTTGGCCACTGCCTACTGACACATGATTTTGGGTGCCATTAGTAACTTCTATAACTTCATTGACAGTGAAACCTACTTAGAATATAAATCTTGATGATTTAAAGCATTTCAAGCTCTGCCAAATTATACCTTACGGTTTATAGTCTTTTAATTGTAAAGAAGACATCTGGCAAAAAAATTAATTAAAATTCTCTCTCTCTCTCTCTCTCTCACTCACATACACACACACACACAAACAAATATAGTTCAATAAAAGTGACAGGGCATTCAAGATCCTCTCCTCATGAAATGTCTCTCTCTCTCTCTCTCTCTCTCTCTCTCTCTCTCTCACACACACACACACACACACACAAATATAGTTCAATAAAAGTTACAGGGCATTCAAGATCCTCTCCTCATGAAATGTTACCTAACAAAAGCAAAGTCTAGTTCTAACGCAAAGTGTAGTGGGTAGGGGGCCATCACCCCATGCTCTCAATTACATTACTCCCTTCATCATGACACCCTGACTTTGTTTGCTCTACGATAATATTAATGTTCTACCACTTGCAAAATTACTGAATTACCCTTCCCTGATCCCCCACCCTCAACCCTCTTTCACATTTTTGTGTGTGTCAGTGTGTGCTCAAAAGGAGTGGTTTAGTAGTTGTGTGACATAATATGTGGCCTATAGCACTAGAGCATGACTAATAACTGTCATGGGCTTGGTCCCATGAGTTGAGGGTATAATAATTGGATCATGAAACAAGCCTCATGGGCATCAACTTTTTTTTTTTTTTTTCTTTCTTTTATTCCTATTTCTTTATGTAGTTTGCTATGAAAGCACTGGGAGGGAAAATAAAAAAGAAAAAGGTCAAAAAAAGCAAAGGTCAAGAAAGAAGCTCACTTGTGACCCCATTCCTTAGAGCAAAAAGGGGTGTCAGAAAAATGAACAAAGAGATGGTAAAGTCTTTAGACATACAGAAAAAAAGGTACCAACTAAGACAAGCTGTAAATTGACGTTGTGCTTTTAAAACACCCATCTAAAGACAACTGAAAATTCAAAGACCATTCACAGAGTTTGAAGAGACACAAGATCTGAAGCAGAGAAATCAACATAACAGAGAAGAAGAAACAGAAAAGACCATGAGAGGAAGAGATCAAGCCAAAGGAGCGCCTTCAACAGATCTGTTAGTATGTTTTCCTACTAGAGCCCATTTAACCTTAATGCCAAAGCCCATCTGCAGCCCATCAAGACCTTCAGAATCCAACAAGCGCCACCACTCCCACCACCACCGCCACCAGCACCAACACCGCCTTAAGAAAGCTGGTAACAGAGGTGGTGGTGGTGGCGGCGGCGGCCAAGCCAGCCCACTCCTATGGGCAAAAACCAAACCAATGGGCTCGGAGATCTCAGAACCGACATCCCCAAAAGTCACATGCGCAGGGCAGATCAAGGTCAGGCCCAAGCCCAGTTCATGCAGGAATTGGCAATCGGTGATGGAAGAGATTGAAAGGCTTCACCACCACAGAAAACACAAGAAAAAACCTAGTTGGGTTGAAGCCTTGGGGATCAAGAAAGATGTCATGCAGTTCTTAACATGCTTACGAAGCATCCGGTTCGATTTTCGATGTTTTGGCTCTTTTCCAACGTCTGATATCACTTCAGATGATGATGAGGAAGAGGAAGAGTATCATGAAAACCAAGTGGATGCTGAGGGAACTGATGGAGATGAAGCTTCAAGAACTGTCTTCTCCAAATGGTTCATGGTTCTACAAGACAACCAAAATAAAAAAGAAGAGAGTAAAGCAAGAGATAGGGTTTATGGAGGTGAAGAGAGTGTTAGTAGTGCACCATGTGCACCACCATCAAATGCACTCTTGCTCATGCGTTGCCGGTCCGCTCCAGCCAAAAGCTGGTTAGAAGAAAGAGAAGAAGAAGAAGAAGATGATGATGTTGATGAAGAAGAAGAAAAACATGAAGAAGAAAAATTCGCGGCCACAGAAGAAGAGATAAGAAAGAAGAAAGAGAACTTGGTGGTGATGAGATATGACAGAGACTTGTATAAATTCTCATCTGAGATTGCAAAAGAGACTTGGGTTGTTGGTGGTGCAAGAGATCCACTGTCAAGGAGTCGAAGTTGGAAGAGATGATAAAATGGATGACAAAGGTGACTGCTGATTTAATTTGCCATTTTTTTTTTTTTTTTTTTCCTCTATATAGTTTGATGTTTTGTTTATTTTTATAATGTTATGGGTGGTGTGAGAAATCCATATCAAGCTATCTTTGTTCTAGCATACATTTTTTTACTTCAATTGTGATTTGCTTTGACAGTGTATAATGTGTACATATTTTCTCACATATCAGTTGATTATAAAAGATTTTTGCAGCTGCCATCTCTATTTTTTTTTTATGTATTCATGTACCATGTTTCTTAATTCAATAAATGAAAAGGTTAAATTTTGGTGTGTATTAATGTACCCCAAAAGCCAAACACACCCCCCCCCCCCCCCCCCCCCCCCCCCCCCCCCCCCTCTCAATTTAGAAACTTATTGTTAATCTTCCTAAGAGTAGGAGAGGGTTTCAGCCCGGGCTCGGCAAAAGTGTGTATCAATACTTATCTGATATAATATATATATATAAATTGGTGATCAGATGTTATGCTTAGCTAATCTTGAATTTAGTCAATCACAGAATTATTAGCACCCAGATCGTGTATAATTTTCCATATAGGGTCTCTAATTAGTAGCATTGGAAGAAATTTATGATATTATATACAAAATCTAAGTGCCTAGCTAGATCATGGAAGGGGACAAAGGCAGGTTAACAACAGTCCCAGCTAAAATTCTATGAAGGCCCTTATACTATACATTCTTGCTGGAATTTGTTTTGATGTAGCATTTCTAAGTCTTTGGAACCCATTATTATATATATATATATATTCCAGAAGTTAAAGCAAAAACACCCACCTAACAAGACTCCATATCTTGACCACTCCTTTGGAGGAGGAGAGATCATACAACCGCGCTAGTGGCCCGGTGACGGGTTGTGGAATCCAAAATTTTGCCTTTCCAGTGGTCCTGTGGAACTCTTTTCGTGTTTTTTGAGTTTACAGAATTTAAATTGCATTTGATAGGTTTACCAAGCAATTCAACAGAGAGACTTGAATTTGATTTGGATTTTTAAATTTCAACTCGAAAGCCCCAATTCCATTCCACCAAGTAGGCCTTTAAGCAAAGATTCTTTAGGTAAAATATACTAAAAAGAAAAAGTAAAACTGTTTTTTTGTGTCGTGTAATTAGATGTATTCATGAAGGAGATGTGGAAATTTGAGTCCATTTTATTTTTTGAGTTGTTGGGTGACTAGGTCAGAATTCTATTTACATGGTAAAAGATAAACTTTGCTGGTTTTATTGTAACTCGTGTCAAACATTTATTAGAATACTTTAAATGGTGAGGGAGTATGTATATATATATATATATATATATATATATAGCAATAAAGTTAAGAATCCGTAATTGAAGGGGAAGAGGAGGGTGCAAGGCTAGAATACAGATTAAGCGGAACAATTCAACCAACATGATATTTGCGGTGAGAGAGTACAGTAGGATTAAGAATCCGTAATTAGAGAAGAAGAGGAGGGTACAAGGTTAGAATACAGATTAAGCGGAACAACCCAACTGACATAATATTTGCGATGAGAGAGTATTTATTTTTATTGTTGAAAGAGAATTCTTATTCAACTCAATCTATTATAATGTTAGAAAACCAATACAGGTACTCTTTATTTATACAATTTACATAAAACACCACCGGATCATCATCATAGTCAACATGTGATGCAGTGTAGAAATCAATGAGGAAAGTTAGAGAGAGGATCTTTAATTGTGTAGTTATGATGATGTAGTACATATATTACATTGGCGGTACCACATGAAGTAGTATCAAATTCAAAATTTCAGAAATGGCTAATCAAATGGAACTTCTCTCACTCTCTCTCTCTCTCATGGTAAGAAAAGAATGTTCAGTGCCTATAATAATGATTGATAATTGTGTCGGCATCTTTGTCCTTACAATTAACCCTATGATTAAGCCCTGTGCTTAATCATTCTACCATTTTCTTTTGGAGTAATTACACTCACACCTTCTTTAAGGTGTGGAAATTGACCTAATTACAACAAAACGTTTTTTACTTTTTGGTAGCATTGAGGCTTTTGGCTCCATTCCTTGAATTTTTTTGGCTCCATTAGTTGAAATGAATCATTGAACAAGTAGTAACAAAATTCAAATTCCATCCTTTTCACGTTGTTATAGTAACAAAAGTTACCATTGATAGCTACAAACTTTACCTACTTGATGGCACTGTGAAAAAACTCATCGTTAGTGAAAGGTGAATGTTGTAATGGAAGCGTCCAATTCACCCGAAAGGATATAAAGGTCCCACCCAACATTCATTATTGCTTCGGAACTTAAACCCTCAACTTCTTGCTTGAAAGGCAAAGGAGATACCTTTGAATTGCTGGCTACCATTTCTGTGGGCAGTGCTGTAAAGAAGATATGTACTACCACATGACACAAATGGTTTGGCTCACGCAAAAATGTCTAGGAAGCATAGAAATGCTATGGTTTTCTAATCATTTTAAAACTCATTTGCTACATTGGTCCCAAACAGCCATTTTGCAGAACTGAGATATCTGAGCCCATCATAGAGATCCACCAAAATGAGATGACCCAAGTAAGTTGAATTGAAAAAATTGGGGGCTTGAGCTCCTTTGTGTCACCACCACATAGTCACATTTAAGGCTACATTGAGGACCATGCATTCAACATAAGGTCCCAACATATATGTAATTTACTATTATTATTACTATTATTTTAACTGAGTGGGATGATTCTGACACTAATTCTCTTTGAACACGTGTCAGATTCCAATGTTACGTTAATTCAGGAAATATCCGTATAAGACTATCCCTCATAAAAAGTCGAAATTCAAAACATCCACCTGATAAGTCCTTGGAGTTCCACACAAGGGGTTTTGTTTCTTAAAAAACAACCAAAATTTGCTTAGATTGTACACACATAAAAACGTAACAATTAAGATTCATCAACTGTTATGTTGCTTGGCATGTACTATACAATAGTAGTGAATTATTTGTAAATATTATCAATCCCAAGAGAATTCTTGATTCATAGTCAACAATTGAGGACAACATATATATATATACATATATATATATATATTCAAAATAATCATAAACCACCATGGTTTGTGCTCATGCTAAGAAGAACAATTAGTGTGGGGCACTATCTTACCAACCCACTAAGCAATCAGTTATATATATAAATAGGCAATCCACTACCAATTTGCATTTCTTTTGTCAAAACAGTATGAAAGAAGCAACTATACAGATATTCATAATCAATACAAAAGAAATTCCCCTCTTACCCTTTTTTTTTTTTTTTTTTTTGGGTTCAGTTAGTGCATATGTTACCTCACTTTGACTCTTTCTTTACTCTTTCTGTGTTTTGATAAATATGCTTCCAATCTCTTTCTTAGAAAACAATGTTCTCAGCTTTGATTTTGCATTTTTTTTCCCCTCTTTAGCTGCTGTATGATTTCACCAACTGTTCTAACAATTCAGGGTTGTTCCCGGGTATTTCTTTGATTTTTGATCCGTTATTGTAAATCTGGAAGGCCGGAATAGTTCGTAAACCCTCTGATTTTGCTAGGTAGGGGTGGTCTTCAATCTCCACCTGAATTTACAGACGAACACATTCACAAAATATATCTATAAAATAGTGATGGAGCTTTTTATAGTAATGTTCACAATGTAATAGTACTTTAAGAATCCCTACAGCATTGCTTATTATATATACAATTATTCCTAGACTTTATCCCAAATTATGAGTCAAAATTACTGAATTTGGGATCATTCATTTTTTATTTTGCTCTATATATATATATATATATATATATATATATATATTTCAAAATTTCATTCTTGGAAATGAAATAAATAGTGTTTATGGGCAAACAAACCTTGAGGAAGTTGACAGATTGGTATCTCTTCCAAACTTGCTCCATGAGCTGCAACACTTGCTTGTGGCACATTTTGTTGCAGAAGAGCACAACAGACACCCCTGCCATTAACATGGATGATTTTATTCAATCACTCACAATTCCTGCCTAAATAAAAGAATTATTGAAAATACTCTGTAAATTTTTTGACAAAAAGCATAACTTATAATATAGTGATTTGTCATTTTAATTTCAAATTAATAGTAGTTACCAGGTCTTGTTACCAAGTGTTTGAAATGTTCACTGCTAGATATGAGCACCAGATTAGAACTCAATTTCAGGTCCTTAGTGTCTTCACCATGCTGCTTCTTGAGATTGACCTGAGCCTCAAACAAAGCCTTGCCAACCTCCTCATCTCCCGGAGTTTCTCGTATCAATGTCTCATAGTCTTGAATTGCAGCCTCCCATCTTTCCAACTAATCAAACAAAACGCGAACAAAAAAATTTAGTACTGAAATCCCAATGAAAAATACCATGACATTCTCTAGTTTATTAACTGTATGCATTCCAGTTTCAAAAGTGCTGCTAAAATGTCACTTGTGGTGTGTTACCTTGGCGTTGCAATCAGCCCTGCGAAGTCTGGCCTTGCTATAAGAGGGCCGGACATTGAGTGCTGCAGTGCAATCTTCTATGGCTTTCTCGAATTGGCCTAACTTAGATCGACAAGCTGCTAGATTGCATAGCAGAATTGAGTTGTATGGATCATGATCTAATCCTTCACTATACGCAATAGAGGCCTCGGTGAATTTTGATGCCTTGAAGAGCTGGTTTCCATTTGCCCGCGCTGATGCCATTTCTCTTAGCCTCCTTACTGCAGCATTGACCTCATTGCTTGAATCTAGCCAAGCTGCAAGCTGACCAACAGCCACAGCATCCTCAAACCTGTTTGTTAACCCATGATACTTTTTATCTAGACGTTGACATTTATTCTAATCCAAATCCTCAAAATAAAATAAAATAAAATAATTGGAAATCACATGTTCCTCAATATTTTAGTGTTGGTATTATAACTTTTCTATGGACTAAATCACCCTGTTTCTCCAGTAATCAACATAAGAAAGTTTTAAAAGAGTTCTAAAGCAACAAACTTAGTTTAGATGATAACAAGAATTGAATTTTTTTTTTTTTTTTTTTTTTTTTTTTTTAACACTAACCTGCCATCAACCATGTAAATCTGAGCTCGAATTATTAGCAGATAAGCACTAGTAGCGGAACCAAACAATTGAGCCAAAGACTCAATCTGGAATTTCGGCTCCATCCTAATGGTGTCACAGGCCTCTTGATGTCTATGGAGCTTCAACAATGCCTCTGCTTGCATTGCATAGATCTTTGTACCAAAACAAAAAACAAAAAACAAAAGACAAAAAAACAAAAATCAGTTTAAGCAAGTTATGAATAAGTAGTTATGAATATCATAGAATAAACTTCTATTGGATACAAAAAAAGGAAAAAGAAGGGGTTGGACCAAAGTAGTTGACCTGTGGAGAAGAATCAGCACCAGAGCTTACTGCACATAGGCTTTCCTTTAGCAATGTGTTCCAGTCTCTTAGTTCCCGAGCTTCGTTGCACCTACTGAGGTGTTTTATAAGAGCTTGAGCTTGCGCGATGTCATTAGAATCAGCCTTGGGGCCTGATTGTATGTAGTGGTCCAATGCTTTCTCTGCTTCTCCCAATCTATGTGACACAAAACACAATCACATATATAAAACATATAAGCTGCTTCAAATTTCATGACAATTCAATAACTAACAGAAGATTACACTACCTGAGATATAGCCTTGCCAAACGAAGATGAGCTCTTTGATAACAAGGCTCAATCCGAATGGCCTCTTTGCACTCGAAGACTGCCTCCACAAGACGGCCTAAGCAGATCAAAGCTGCACTCTTGTTGCTATAACAAGACGCCTTGCTTGAATCAAGAGCAATTGCTTGATTGTAAAGAGCCAAAGCCTCCTCGAATCTGCCCTTCTTGTATTCCTCATTTCCTATCAACTTCAATGCCTCGGGATCCAATTTATTCATCGAGCCACTAGGCCTCCTCACAATGTTGCCCACAGTACCACCAATTTTGCCATTTCCTGTCCGTTGCATAGTCCTATGCCGGTAATCCAGAGTGCCAGGAGTGATGTTAGGAGAATTGTTTGCTAAGGAACTTTTAGTCCCTAGCTGCTTCAAATTACCCAAATGGCCTAACGGCATTACATTGCCTGAAGAAGCTGGATAAGAAGCCGAGGTTACATTGGACCGGGGATTAAACACCGTCATACTCAGCTCGCTTGAGGTGAAAGTTGGCTCCCTTCTAAGCTTTCTGCTGTCTGCAGGGGCTTCTGACACTTTCGTAAGGCCTGAACTGTATGGGGATGATGACTTTGAGCTTCTTGCAGCATTTGAAGGCCTCGGATTAACCAAAGTAGGCGTTGTAACCAGCTTTTCATCTAGTTTTGGTGGAGGTTTAGCCGATTCAGAGGAATCTAAAATCGCAGCATCACCAGAGACACTTCGCTCCCTCTTGGGATTTTGAATGCTTGGTTTCTTGATTGTATTGTTGTCGCGATTTGATGGAAGTGGTCGCACCAATGCTTTGCTTGCCTTGGAGCTCCGACGCTGGAAGATTGCTCCTACTAAACCACAGCCAAAATCATTCTCCAACATGTACTTGGCTGTTTCAGCCATAATTGTCTGTGTGTGTGTGTGTGTGTGTGTGTGTGTGTGTGTGTGTGCAGTGTCAAATGACTCTTGGATTGGGTACTACTTATAAAAGAGGAGACTGATCAATTATATCTGAATTCACACAAAATGGAGGACTTTGAAAGGAAATGAAAACACTCTGTGAAGAACATCTATAACAGGAGAACAAATTTTAAATACAAATAAAAATTTGAATACCCTTTTGAAGAACAAAAGAATATAAAAGAAAAAGAAATGAAGAGATGGCTTGAATGTGAAGGATTTAATGTAACAGGCCTACTTCATGGAAGGTATGTGCAGTGTACTTATACATCTAAGGCCTCCATGGAGTGATAGCCAAGAAACTAACTTTATTTCTTTTGCGCATTGACAGGAGATGGTCCAATCGAAGAATAAAAACAAATAGAAAAAGAGAGGGAAGAGATGTTCTCAAGAAATATTTTATATAACTCCAAAAAGAATTTGTTTTTTTGAAAGAAATTCTTGGCTTTCTTTGTGTACCAGATAAGCTAAATAATGACTAGTTTATCCTAAATGAAACCTATTAGTTACTTCATTTGAACTTTTAGAACTTTAGGGCAAAAGCAAGTACTCTGTTAACTAGAGTTAAACTTGGCACACTAGGAGAGAGTAGAGACAGAGTATTGTAATTATTTTTTTAGGTTTGTTTATAACAAGACAATGAGTTGAAAATTTTGAGTGCAATCAACATGATTACATTAGGCTCATATGAAATTATGGTCCCAATTTTGTTTTGGTCTGAGTCGCTTGTGTCACGAGGGATTCGAATTTTTTCTTGCAGATAGTGGAACCGGTTCTAGAATTCTTGTATATAAGTGTGTTTAAGGTTTGAATTGCATTATGACAAAACACTGATAGCCACACGAAAGAGAGTGAGAGCATGGATTTTTTTTTTTTTTTGGGCATTATGTACCTATATATTTTGTAAAATTTTGACAATGACCACTGAAATTATGAAAAAACTTCAATGGCACCCCCCTCAATAAAGTTTCTAGTCTGTCACACAGTGAGAGAGGGAATTTGGGGGCTGAAACTTGTAAAGCATAACCAAAAGGCCTTTGGCCCAGCGGTATAACCTCCCCATCTCAAAGAGGAGGGGAGGCTGCGAGCGTGGGTAAAAAAAGGTTCCCAAAAAAAAAAAAAAAAAAAAAAAAACAGATCTTCAATGTGCACATAGGTTTTATGTCAAACTACAATAAATTTTTATGTTTTTTTTTGCTGTGTATTATTATTCTATAGATTTCTTGATTGCGTTCTTAATTTTCAGTGTTTGTCATTACAACTTCTACAATGAACAATTCATAATCCCAACATTCTCTACCGTCTACATCAATCTAATTAGGCCATTGTTTGATAGTGTTTAAGTTTCAATTTACGAGGGTAGACACTAGAAATATTGTCAAAAGTTGTGTCTACCCAATCTTCCACTCCCACCAATAGTCCTTTTCAGATTGAACATGGTATTTAATTGGCTTTATTAGACGATCAACAATGGAGTCTGATTCTAGTAGAAAATTGCCACGAAATATGAGGACTGAGTGAGATATTTGTTGTCATATTTTGAAAGAAAACTAGGGTTTGTCACTATTGCAGTCTTGCTGACTTGGTCTGTGTTATGGTGTGTTTAATTTGGACCACTAGTATAAAGAGATGAGATAGATTCTGTGTCCATGACTTGGCCAACATATTTTCCAAACTTGCAACTAGTCGGTGGCCGGCTTGCAAGCTCTCGCACAGCTCACAATTTTAATGCTAAGCCAGCTCTGGACGGCACGGCACACATTCCTGCCCATCTACTTCCCATATTTTGTTTGTGTATCGAATATCCGCTGTCTATAGTTGGAATTGGGTCAGATGCGCTAGATAGGAAATGTATCGTCTTGAGAAAGTCTACAATATTAGCGATATTTATACGCGGTGTCTGCAGTGAACGGTAATGAAAATTTTCATTTTGTTTTGATAAACTAAAAATGAAGAGTTTTCAATAAAAAAATATGACTGTCTATTAGTCGGGGCATCACATGATAAATACTCCCGGACTTTCTCGTACCGTCCAAGCATACCACGTCATTGGTAATGTTCACTCAATAAAAACGGACAGAGCTATCCTACATATAAAAACACAGACAAAAAATTGATATTGTTAGGTTTTTACTTCTTATCAGATGGACATACTAATAACGTGGGTAGATATTGGGTGCACCGTATATGCCACGTCATTACTATACACACTCAATGACAATGCATCATTTCAAAAAAAAATGTTTATCCATTTATAAAATTGCTGATAACAAAATAATATGTTATAATTAACTGAATAGATATACTAATGACTTGACGTGCACAGTGCACCCAATATCTAATCCGTTAGTCTATGACATCTAATACATTAGGAATCACAAATTTGATGAGCATTAGACGCTGACAACATGTGTTTCTCATTGTTCCTCAGGTGAGTTTGATATGGTCATCTTCTTTATCTGCCGACAAAAAGCGAAAAAATAAGAATAATAATAATGGAGTCATAAAATTAAAAAGTGGATGATAAACAAGTATGCCAAGAGAATCAAGTTTTATGATCAACCTTGAATTATATCATCAAGGACAAATTTGGGCTACATGGGACCCAAAATTCCATACAGAATAAATTAATGTCGATCTAAAACCACTTAGGCCGCTCTTGGCCGAATTAGATTCTTATCTTATATTGATGACAAGAAAATCTGCGTCATTAGTTGCTTCCTAATTAATCTAGAAGTCCGTCTTCTAATCATGCCCTTTTTATGGATAATATGCTTCTAGAATCTAAATTTGATCCAAAAGTTTTGTGCTTTGATAAATGGACAACAAATAATCAACCCGTTTGAGTAGAAGACATATCAATTGACTTGAATTTATGGTTCAATGCCATAAGAATGAATTTCTTACTATGTGTGATTCACTATGTGAATTTAAGACTAATCATGGATGCCTTCAACATTACACCATTTTTTAATAAAAGCACGTGGCAAATAGACACCATTAAGTAAGGTATGAAGCATAACATGCTCATTCTAGAGTACAATTAAATATTATAAAAGTGAATATCTCCAAACATTTCATGAAAATATGCATTGCTGTCTGAATCTTAATGAGGCATTAGTGTTTTGAAAGGTTGTGACGGCAATGGGAAGGCATTAGTTGCTTCATAAAAAATGGACTGAAAATATAATTATTGGATTCGATGAATCACATTTTAGATTAATGATAGAATGGAAACATTGGTCCATTTTTTTTTTTAATAAAAGCACATCGATATCTTTATTTATTTTAAAGCATAATATAATATTTTATACTCATTAATATTTTTAAATTATATAAACTATGAAATAGTTTACTTTTCAATTAATTGAAAAATACAAAAATTAAGTGTGTATAGTGTTAACCAATCATAATATTCTTGACTTTTAATGACGATGAGGTACCGATCCAACTCTCATCTACTATTATTCCCGTTAACGGAACTGTTCTAGCCAACTCTATCTTTACTCCTCATACTATTGATTACAAGTGAGACTCCCCTTTATACAGACTTATTTCTCTATTAAATCGACTACAACTAATGTTAATATTTATTCGTCTAAAATTCTCCATATAAATATATTTTAAAATATTTATAATTTTTAAAAAAGTCTCTACCCTCTTATAATCTTCTTATATCTTATAAATTCCTATAAGCATTCTAATATTTAAAATCATCACAAGTCGGCAACACTTCACAATTTTCTAGATAAATATTGAATACTCTAAAATCCAACACTTCTGTTGGGGACAGACCTATTACCAAGTGAGGGGGTAATTGCCCCTCCCTCAATTTTTAATTTTTTACTAATGTACCATGTTATTTTTTCCTTTTTTCAATATATATCCCTAAAATATTACTAGTACCCCTAAAATTATTACAAAAGTTCATTTTTGCCTCCCTAACCTAAAGTTATAAATCTTACTTCTCGTAGAATTGGGAAGGTGGCATTTTACTCATTAGACAATTGAAGTAATGGCACCAAAAGCAAGGGAAGGTAGGCCGCAATGCTAGAATGTAAGTTTGGGCATTCAATCAATCATAATGCCACCCAAGTGAAACATGTGGGCAACTACTCAACACTATTACCCAATCACTCTGAAGGACAAATGTCACCAATACAATACAAAAGTAGACCAGTGGGTTGGTCGGACCAAAACTTTCTTGGGTGTGATTCAATTCTTTTTATAATTTATTGGTGTGTATGGTCCCATTTTAAGTCGGCAATACTAACCAAAATGCAGGTTTAGAGAACCTAATAAAGGAGGGTCCAATTTCTTGATTTTCAAGCTCCACGGATTCTTGTCCAAGCACCTTCTTTACGTTGGATTTCAGTAAAGGAACATATATATATATATATATATATATGTATGTATAGAGAGAGAGAGAGAGAGAGAGAGAGAGAGAGAATTTGGCACTATGGGAATTGGGAAGGCTTGGGATAAAAGACTTAAAAGAGGGGAGAGTGATACGTATAGGGTGCGGAAAGTGATGCACGTGCATTATACGTAAAGGAGAACAGGTGGTCACGTGATCTAAAGTGATCCATATCTTTGAAGTATGAAAGTTACACCAAGCTTTAATGGTAAGCATAGATGGTGTGGGTCTCTTTGGTTTTGCTTCACATTGGTAATATACTACTACTACCAACATTCTCACTGCATAGGACTCCCATACTTGCACTTCCTTTTATACACCTAGAAAATTGGTCTAGGGTAATGTCAACTTAATTGAGATTTCAATTTTCAACTGATAAACCTTTTCAAATTAGCCCTAATTAAAGGGAAATTCTCAATAGTGACTGAGTAAATTAATTAAGTGTGTATAATAACTTACTGCTTTGTGACAATATGACACTTCTCTTGTTATGGACGGATTCACAAAATTATGTGAGGTTAAAAAAATAAAATATTCAGTACTAATTTAATTATACTTTTAGGTCGGATGGGATGACAGGTGTTAGATCCATTAAAAGTTGGCGTAGAACTAATTCAATTCCATAGTATAGCATAACAAGTGTTTAGCTTGTTACACCAAATTAATACAAAAAAGAATTTGGAACCTAAATCATACAATCCTTTTCAACAGATATCGATCTCACACTTCAAGCACGCTCTCGCTCTCACGCTCCGTACTTGCTCTCACTTTCATTCCTACTCTATGCGACTTAAGTGTTATCGCTTTTGTGTTCCTACTCTTGAGTTCGCTCCCGCTTTACGTGACTTAGCTTGGACCTCTAAGCATCCCATATGAAGAAAACAAGAAGGCTAATTTTGTGGAGACTTGACAAACAGGTGGGATTGAAGTTTTTTATTTTATTTTTTTGGCTATTGATATTTAAATCAAATTATTCAATTGTATTAATCTCACAATTTGCCAAATCGGTCTAACTAAACAAAAGTATTTCATATGTGGGTCGGGTTAGAGCAGTCAATTTATTCCCAAATGGGCCAAATTCTAATCAATTATAATGTCATATGTTGCATTTGATTTTTTAAACCAACAAAAAATTTCATGAAATAAGTAGAACCAATCTAGATAAATGGTTGATTTACCGCAAAAAATAAAATAAATAAAATTCTAGATAAATGGGTTGGATAATTTCCAATTGGCTTAGACCATTGTACTCAAATTATCTCTCATTATCTCCTATAATGGCACAATAATCTTCAACATTAGTGAAAATAATGGTGCAATAAGTAATTGAGTATGATTAATGAACTAGTTAAAGTACCTTAGGCACAATTTGGTTGGAGAGACATGAAAGGAGAAGAAAAGAAGAGAAATAGAGGGAAATGTCACGTTGGGTTTTGGTATAAAATTTTGGAATGAAATGAAAAGAAATAGAACCAAAAAAAAAACAAGTCCACCAAAAACTAAGCCCATGGGTAGGATCCATAACAATTCTGAAATATATTTCATACAAGGATGAAAAATTCTTCCTGTGCTCAACAAGAAATCAATCAATGCAAGGCGAGATGGGCTGGGCTTGACTAAACAAAGACTCAAAAGTTCAAGCACCATGGGCCAAGTATAGAAGTTTGAGCTTAGTTTTTATTGAATTTCAATTTCAAAGCACTAATTCTAAGAAATGAATGTAGCAAGAAATATCTACCAACATGATTACATGTTTTGTACCATTACCCATGACCTAATTGGTAGAGCGTCCAGCTTCCCAAACCGATGTGCCTTAACATGCCAAGATTAAAAAATAAAAACTATATTATACATACCATCATTTAGAGGATCGATTTTTTTTTTCTCAGTGGAGAATATATATATATAGATGAAAGGTTCCTTATATATACTCTTTTAGATTAGCTTACACTTCTGGCAAGAAATTGATACTTCTGAGACATTACAGAGAGAGAGATTGAGGGGTTATTCATTAATTTATTGTGCTAGAGAGTATGCTTCATGAACTCCAATGTAGATTTTTAAGGTTTACTTAGTTTATAACTTTGTTAGTACTTCTCAAGAACTTAGATAACATAAAAACTGTTTTTTAAAGATTGTTCTCTCTTTTCTTTCCTTTTTTTTAATAAATAAAATCAGCTTACCAAATAAAAAATACATGACAAAACAATGACAGTCATCATCATGAAAAATTATTCATGATCTATGTAATAAAATTATAAAGAAAAAATAATAATATTGAATCCACGTAATATCATCTAAAAAAAATTGTATTATTTTATGGTATATAATTACTCAATCCATGAAAATGAAATTAAATTGATAATTACAGTGATAAAATGTAAATTATTATTGAAGAAAGAAATCTACTCCTTGTAATGAGACGAGATTGAATATGATTATAATATTTGAACTACCCATGATAGAGAAACAAACAGTCAAAGAGGACATGAGTTCCTCCTCCACCATCATGCTGATCTTGTCACATGTGGGCCCTATGCCAATGAATACTCACTTTCTTGGTCCACCGCTTGTGGAACCCACTTTCTCTTGGGCCAGAAACATAGGTGGCTTATGTCCAACTTGGAATGCTCTCCATAGTAGACTAATTGCCATTGATTTTAGTAAATAAATTGATTACTCCTTCCCATACCAAAAAAAAAAAAAAAAAAAAAATTTCTTTTCAGGAACCTAACTAATAGAAAACATTGAATTGGCATCTTAGATGGTGATATTTTTCTTGTTTTGTTTGGAGTGTCAATTTAGTGCATTGAATTTGAAATTTAAAGAAATTTAGTTAAAAAATTATACTAAAATTTTTCCAATCTCAAATTCAAAGCGTCGATTTAGTACCGCGAAATATTTCATTAATTTTAAAAAAAAAAAAATAGAAATTGGTAGTGCATTGACTTAAACTATTATGTGAGGTTAACACCAAACATATATCTACCCATTTCATTTTTCATTCGGATCCGATGTAAAACAAACTTCCAACATTCTCTCTCATCCAAACTTGCAACGTTTTCGTTGGACCTCGGGCCACCCTATCTATCCTAGTGGAGGACTCAGACTCCTTTAAATTGAACGTTTGACATGACACCAAAGCAATGATTAGGTCTCACTCTAATATTAACTATAATAAATTAATGCTTCACAATTCGATCCATATCCCGTTTCATTTTTCATCTAAATTCGATTTACGACAAACCACTAACATATGGCGTCAACATATTGATAAAAACCTCTTCCTTTGATGGGGTTTGAATTATAAAGATTTCATATTCTTTCTGCCCTTTTGTCTCTAGTGCCATGCAGTACGCATGTCTTAAATTAAATGTGCGACCTAAAAGACCATGAATAACAGATTATATGGCCAATGTAACACACATGCACTAATACAAAATATCATATCAAGTTGTCGCAAAATTATTAAATAAAAAATACAACACATGCATTAGAGAGATGAGAGAGAATCTTGATTCGAACAATTATTTTATTTTATTTTTTTATGTTAAATGCTTGAGAGATATAACTTGTACAAAATATCATAATCCATTACTTTATTCCTAAAAGAACCATTAATATGAAAGGATATATGAAGCAAACATTAATTTGTGACCGCAATTTATTTTTCTATTTTATTATTCTATAAGTATTCCGTGCAGAGGAGAAAGACGTGAAACAATTCGTATCTTTAGGGTTCGGGATTTGGTCTGCAAGGGTTGGCCAATAAGCACAAAGAAGGGAATATAATAATACAATGAAAAAGACGTAGTATATACTCCAAAAATACAAATTATTATACTACAAGTACAAATATATATATATATATATATGTTGACACATGTTATCTGCATGCATTTATTATTTCAAATATTGGAGGAATCTCTTATCTAATATATTTAATTAAAATTTGTTTTTTTTAATTATTATTTTGAAATATCTGATGGTTGGAACGAACTAGAGTATGGTTGAACTAATCTATCAAATCTAATAAGTTTCACTCCTAAGTTTTTGCTTGAAAAAATATTAAGGGTCCATTTTAAAAATATATATAAAACAGCAGTGTTATTTATTTATTGTCCTAAGATAACAAATAAAATTAAAAAAATGACACAATGTAGTTTGAGAAGTATTTCACATTTTATGACACTGTTCTAAAATTTTATAATATGATTTTCTATATATATATATATATATATATATGATGTTAGCCTAAATTTTAACTTGACATATTATATATGAAGTTATATATTCAACATAATTTACCATAGTAAATTTTGATCGAGTCAAAGGGTGAGTTATAGAATTTCATTTATTTATATATTGATTTATATGTTGATATATCATTTAATTGTAATTTAATGAGATTTAGATAACAAACCTATATATATAAATATTGGACGAACAACAAGATACCAACCCTGTCTTCCCTACACCAAACCCATGAAAGCTGCACACAAGTAGTAGTTTCTAAGCAATCACTAAAAATGGCATTAATTATTTATATCATTTTATAATTAGATGTCCATGCAAATAAAAAATAAAATTAATAATAGTAATTTAAAAAAGAAGAAAAAAAAACGTGGTGGTGATTTGACGTGGAAAGTTCCGTGGTGGCGGTGGCAGCTATGGTGGCGGCTGGGCGGTGTTGAATGGCTGATGGTGGTTTTCTCTTTCACAGCCACCAAATTAAAGCCAAACTAGTTGCCTACTCACCCTCACACTTTGTTCTTTTTGCCTTTTTCTCCCATTATTATTATTTTTCTTAAATCTTTCATTTATTTTTGAACTTTCTTATATCCCATTCTTGTGTTCACATTCAATCTAAAAAAAATACCCTCTACTCTCTCTCTCACTCTCTCTATTTGAGGTTGACCCGTAGCCACCTACCGGCAGCTCCTTCCCTCTTCCAATGGCGGCCCCACCACCCTGCAATCTCTAGAGAGGAAAAGTAAGCTCAAAAACAGCCTCTCTTTAAGAGAGAGGAATAGAAAAGAAAAATTAAAAAAAAAAAAGTAAAAGAGAAAAGAAAAGCTTAAATATATAATCTTTCCTTTCCTTTCATTTCTCTCTTTTCCTTCTCCTCATTCAGATCCTACAAGGGACTATACGGAGAGGAAACCCAAAAACCTTCCATTTCTCTTCAGTCTTTATATAGTTTTATAGAAACCTTTTCTACAAGAAAGAGAGAGACAAAAGAAGAAATTCATCACTCCATTGTAGATCAGAGCAAGCTTTAAAGAGATATGGGTACTTTCTGTTCAGGTGTTCATTTGCAGTAAATCTCCTAATTATTTGCTGTTTTTCAGATCCTCTTTTTCGTCTCCCTCTTTTCAAAGTTTGCAACTAGCACCGTCTCTTTTCATTGCTTTCACTTTTTGCTTTACTGAGTCTGTTTGGCCCTCTGGCGGTTACCGCCAAACGATCTCCATAATTATCGGCAAAGCGTTCTATATATGGATTCTAACAGTGGGAGTATGCAATCTTCGAGTGGTGGAGATGAAGAGTATGATTCGAGGACCGAATCAATCTCGCCGTTCATGATGAACCCTTCAGGTTCAGGTTCAGGTGGTTCAGTCCACTTTGGTTCAATCTCAAACCCCCACCCACCATCTCTTCCACACCACCAAAGCCACCACCCATCTGCTCTGTTTGATCCTCCATCACACAATCTTGGTGACTTTTCACATACACAACCAAACCCAAATGCCAATACACTATACAATCTCAATTCAGTTTGGTCCAGAGGCTTAATACCATCAGATCCCAATCACACCAACATGGGAATCCTATCTGGATTATCATCATCAACCCAATCCCTCTTAGCTCCTCAAGGACACAACCAGGGCCCATTTCCAAGCTCATCGTCGATGTCTATGTCGATGCCGATGCCGTTACGGCCGGTGTTGGACGTCCATGGTGGTGGAAGAGCTACACCACAGTCTGATCATCATCAACCCCACATGGTCAAGAACTCCAAGAAGCGCACCAGAGCTTCAAGGAGGGCACCCACCACTGTCCTCACCACTGACACGTCGAATTTCCGGCAAATGGTGCAGGAGTTCACCGGCTTCCCGGCGCCTCCCTTCTCCGCCTCGCCGTACTCTCGCCGGCTTGACCTGTTTGCAACTGGTTCAGCCATGAGGTCTGGTCAACTAGAGCCACTTGGTCCATTTTACCCTTTAAGGCCATCAGTTCAAAAGGCTCAATCATCACTACCATTTATTTCATCTTCTTCTCCTTCATTGTTGAACTCTTCTTTAATTGATGCAATAGCTCCTACTACCACTCTCGTTGCATCAAATTCTACTAACATTAATACTTTGACCACCAATACTTTCAATTCAGGTAACTACCAACCACCACCGTCTGATCACCTAGGCCTTGATCTTCCCAATCAACCTCAAAACATGCTCAGCATGCAAAACCAAATGCTCACTTTCCAATCTCTCCTAAGATCACCCCTTCCTCCAAGTACTCTAAGGTACCCATCACCCGATTCGGCGGTTTTCGGCTCGAGCTCTCAAAGAAGTCCCACCATTCCTTCTCTTGATGAATTGGGTACCAGCCATGAACATGTAAATGCAAACCTCGGAGGGTTTCCAAACCATGGAAGTACTTCCGAGGCCACGACGCGAAGGATCAGGAGTGACAATGATCTTAGCAGATGGAGAGATGGAACAACATCATCAAATGATAGGGTTCAAGAAAACTTGGGGTCTTTTGATTGAAATGGTGGTAAAAACATGACAACATATATGCATGTTATTGGCCTCTACATCATCAGAGTTCGGAGAATGTTTCCTCGAGAAGTGAAGGTACGGTGGATATTTTTGATCTGTCCTTCTGATTAGTGCTTTTTGCAGCAATAAACAGCGTATGATAATAGTATATAGAAATCATAATGAGGAAATTATAGAAAATGTGGAGGAATTTAAGGCAGTTATGATGGTGAATGAATAGGGTTGGGTGATGATCATGATTGGTGAGCATTTCTTCTTGATTAATTGATAACCTGAATGATCACCACTTTTTGGCTAATCTTTGGATCAAATGTATTACTATATATATATATATATATATATATTACATGTAAATACTGCAATTTCTATTTTTACAGTTTTGATAGAACATCCATATTTATAATATTGTTAAAAGAATTTTGTTTTCCTCTGGATTTTTGTCTCTTGCAAGTGTTGATGGCATTATAATGGTTTGGCTGTTGCTACAATAATTTTTTTTTTCTTTCTGAAATTTCATAATTTAAATTCTATTCCTTGTACCTTACCTGAGGATAATAAGTTAAACACATACGGTCTGTTCTGTGATGATGATGTGTGATCATTATGCATTAGACATGGTGTCATGTATTGTTTGGATCTTATGCCATTAACAAAAGTTTTGTCTCCTAGGACAGAATCACTGGTACATGGTGGTTCAAGGGGGCATGAATCATGGTGCAGCAAACTTGACTAGTGTTAGGGTATGTTAGTTAGCTCACATTCTACATTACAACTTGTTAAGAGCTAGCTAGGTAAGAAAGAATCAAGCATATATCATCTCTATTTTTGTGAAAACAAAAAAAAAATTACCAATTTTTTCAATTGTTTTCATGTTTCTTATGTTATGGTAAGATACCTAATTGTCTGTTAGCTAATTTGATACATTACCCTGTATATATGTTTTGTGAGGCTTTGAAGGAAGAGAGGGGTGGGGCTTGTTTGGTTCAATTTTTTGGCAATAATTTTCTATTTTGTTGATAACTGGAAATTTTAAAATTGTACAAAATATTATTTGATTGACAGTTTCTAAAAACCTACTATTAGTAAATTGTAGGATGCATTATATATATATATATATATATATATATATATATATATAATGATTTGGAGTCCCGACAGTTAGACACATTCGATTGATTTATGTGAGTGAAAGCTGACGTCATCATATTTTCATTAATATTACTGATGTCATGATTCCATCAATTCTTACTCACATAAAATTAATCGAATGTGTCCAGCGGTTAGACGATCATTACTCATATATATATATATATATATATATATAAGATTCTTTTTGGCTTGAATCCGACATTCTTCTTTGAGGATGAAAGATTATACCATTGGGTTGAAGCCTTTGGTTCCGTTTGGCTCATTGCTCTCATACATTCTTCTTTTTAATTTTTATTCTTCTTATTTTTTTTAGTTTTTCTTGTTCTTTATACTCTCTTTTTTCCAGTTGAATGGTATACTTTAATAAACCAAAATAAGGATGTACATGCAAAAAGTCCAATATGGATACAAGTAGCCCAAGGCAAGCAACAAACCAGACAAACAAATGATATACAACCAAATAGAAACCAAAGTTTATTAAAAAAAAAATTACAATTAATGGATCCATTTGTTGTAAATTACTCCCTCATCCCAAAAATTTTGGACTGTTTGGAAAATTCAACTTTTTATTGTAGTTGGTTTTTAATACTTTTTTATTGTATTGATAATAATATTTCGTAATTAGTGCACTTGTTTAGTCAAAATGATAGTTTGAAAATATAGCAAAATAAAATAAAATAAAAAATAATAATACATTCATTTTTAAAATAGTACAATATATTTTGAGACATTTCAAAATAAGAAGATGAACAAAATTGGGACAAATGAAGTATGACTTATTAATACCATAAGTTAGTTGTTAAGGGTAGGCGTACGCCATTAATCCTATTAATACACACATGTATTGAAAATGATATAGTAACCGCAAGACTTTAAAGGGTGCTTTTAGCCAACATTAATCAAACTTCAAAAGAGCTCTTCTAAAATAATGGTACCTTCATATTTGATGGTATTAATGGGCAAATGCTAGGTAAAGAGCTCTTCTCAACCCAAAAGTCAAATGATATTTAATCGTGTACATTCATGGATTGGTACGTACTTGCTTGTCTTGTCTTACAGTGACATTGTTCATCTTTCAAGGTTGATTACTGGACCACTCCTGTTCCTTCTTTTTTTTTGGCCTTTTTTTTTATAAGCTTTTGTTTGAGGCAAGAGATTGATATTACTAAAATGTACTCAATACATGTATCCATGACGATTGAATGTTGTTGTGCATTAAATGGATCTACATGTTCTCTATGAACACCATTTTTTTGTGATATGGTAACCACTAAGGAGGATGTTTGTTGAAAACTATGATTCAATTAACCATGAGATTTTTGAAGGTGTATATGATTATAAGTTGGAACTCTCGAATCAATTAGCTAATACATCTAATCTAGGGTCTATGATTGATACAACTATACACTTTCTTTAACTTAAGAATTATTCACAAATTGTGAAGGGTAAACTTGTAAAATTGTACCCTTCATTAATGCCGTTTAACAAAATTGTGTAATGGGAAATTTGTAATTTTGGGGGAAATTGTAATTTGTCCTTACATCCGTCAAAGTGGTAAAAAAGTTGACTTTTGCTCTCGGTGTCGGGAAAGGAAGAAAATTAAATGAAACTGAAGAAAAAACAGGTGTGAATGAGATATTTCTAAGAAATAAATTGTGTCCTTATTATTATTATTATTTTTATTGTTATATTTATTTTTTTTGAATGAAAGAAATTTTGATGGTAGAAAAGGAAGAGGTAGTGTTAATTATATGAAAAAATTTGTAATTTAAAAACTTTTATAATATCACTGTATTTTTTCTTTTACGTGTCCATATTTGGAGAGGTGAAAATTTGTAAACGAATAATGGCTAATCCAATCTCTTTTCTCTTATCTCCTTACTTTCTCTCTACTAAACAAATAAAGTTTATTTCTTCCTTATTTTCTTCCATCCACCCTTCTTCCTTCCCCAAATGGTGCATTAGAGGCACCAACTAGTGTGATGAATAACTTAATACAATCAAGCCTTATGCAGACTCATATGATGAATTTTTTTTCACTTTATCATCAAAATACCATTAGCTTAACCATTATAATCAAATGAGCCTAATATCCACAAATCAGATCATTTTGTTGCGCCTATGACTTTAAGGTTAAGGACTTGCACGTAATCAATGACTTAAAAGCTATAGGCCTAACAAATCGGTCAAATTTGTAGGCCTAGCTATCATTTTCCTAATCAAATAAGTATAAGTTAAATAAAAATATATTACGCAGTTAACATGTCATAGCAAAGGATTGTACTCTAGTGGTATTTATTTATCTTTTAAAATAGGTAAATTTGTGTTCATTTATTAAGAATATAAGGTGTTAATAGAGTTGTATAATAAATCATTTTAACTTGTTTGTGAATCAGTTCACGGGGAGATAAAGAGGATGAGAAGACTCGGAAGAAGGGAGAACAAAGGCTTCAAGAACCAAAATGGTCTTTTGTTGAGAATAAAAAACTTCCTTAAGTTTTTTATTTTGTTTTTTGAAATTGCAAGAGTGAGTTTTATGTTTCCTAATTGATATTATTCTTTTGTTATACATTATACTAATAAAAAATAAATGTTATAGGTTCTCTTAGCTCAAGAGCATGTGTTTGTCACTGTGATTATGTAATGTCTAGGTTGAGATACAATATTTCTTTTCTTTTCTTTTTTAACAAGGTGTAAAAACATGATAAAAGCTTTTTACAATAAGCAAAAATGATATTTACCGGGTGTTTTATCGGTTATTTACAATAATTTTTTAATCCGGTATATAAAGACTATTATTTTTAGCATTGCTTGTCACCGCATGCAATTTAACCTTGTAAAAAGTATTTACAATTTACACCTTGTAAATATACATATTTATTGTAGTGACCAGAGTGAATGTGTGAGTGAAATTCTTGTTAAAGTAAATATATATATATATATATATATATATATATATATATAAGAGAATTTCTAGAGTAATGCTATTAAAAATCTGTTAAAAGTCAAATGAATTATTTAATATATTTATCACTCCGTAGTTAAAATATAAAAAATTCACATAAAATAATTTTTCAAATTCAATATGTGACTTGTATAGGCCAATTTATATTGACTTTGTCTAAATTTATAATACCGCGGTTGGTATGGTTATCGTGACTAATATTACAAATTATAACTATGCGAAAACTCTCTTGACTATATTATTTTTTATTTTAATATTTTATATGATGTCCACAAAGGACAACATAAAACGTTCCATTTATACCCACTTATAATTACAAGTACCAAGGCCGAGTATTTTATTGAGAAAAAAAGATGATCCAAGTGGGCACTTTTATTTTGTTAGTACATCTGCTTTTATCATTAGTCAAAAAAGATTAGTTCCTGATTCCATTTTACATTTTTAAGCAATGTACTCCTTTTTCAAGCTTTATTTTGTATTTACAACCACCTTCTCTTAAAAAAAAAAACCCAATGTAGTCCTACATTGACTTGTCGTGGTGATCTATAGTAATTAAGTAACTTAAATTAAATATAATTAAATAGATGCAAGAAAGGGTTTTCTAACCAACAAAACAAAACAAAAACAAAAAAAGGCAAAAGGATAAATCAAATATTTTCCTAACCACACAATATGGTGCATCATGGGGCTGCGACTTATGTGACCCTCTGTTTCAGCTTGAGATTTTGGCTCACCAACCATTTTGCCGTATTTATAACGGTCCAAAATACACTTCAAAATCAAAATCCTAGGGAAAAAGGAAAAAGGGAAAAAAGAAAAAGAAAAGAAACAAACAATTTGCTTATGAAAATGAGTGTAAGATATTGATAAAATTCCAGATGAAAGAGGGCAGCAAAAAGCAGGGGGAGATAATTAATCATATGCTATGTTTGGGATTACTAAATCGAGGCTTTAATTTTAGAATTAAAAATAATAATAATTTGTTCTAAATTTTTTGGGATTTGTGATGCCAGGTAAGGTCGGTTCATAATCATGGAATCCTTCTCTATATCAGATAAGAAGAGCTGTTAAGAGGTACTACAAACTAAGAAACATTTGTTTAATCTCCCAATGACAATAGTTATCCGTTGTTTTTTAATTTTAAATTTAAAACCCCGATTCAATACTTTCAAATCCAACAGTATAATTTTTGGTTCAATTGAGAATCTAAATGGTTCAGACCAATTCAATTCAAACTCTTCAATTGAGAAAATGACTCTATAAGAATATATTAATATATTATAAAGAAATCTCAATAACAATTTGAATAAATACACCGAG